TCCCACACAGAAGATGCCCGTATTTGACATACAGACATACGGACATAAGACAGAAGTGTTCCAGTACAAATGGGCATTTGTGTATTCACCTTTTAAAAAAATGCCTGAAATTTGACTGCCTTGCTTCAATTCCAATCTTCAACATCTTCCCCAGGACTTACTACTTACAGGTATTTTTTTGAAAAGAATGTATCTAGAAGGTACCAATTTACTAATTTACCTTCGAATTTACTAATGTTCGCCCATGCAAGTTGTGTTATGTTTTCGTCGGATTGCTCATACACTGAATTACTCACTGGAATACAAGATTACAGGATCACGATCAGAAAATGTTCAACATTCAACACCACCAGTTCATCACTTAGCAAAGAATTCACTCTATAATAAAGCATGCTTGTTTTTTTTTCCTTACAGAACAGAATGAAAGCATCAGATCTGAAACAATCTTTAATCTGGTCATCTTGAAATATTATTTAAAGAGCAAAACAAACCAACACACATACACATCTACGTTATATACTCTTGGAATGTGATATACATCGCTCACCACCACACTCCTCAAATTTTTTCGGAGCTCTATTAATTGAAACAATGATTTTTCTTCTCTTTTCTAAAACATAAAAAGCATAGAGTTTGTCTTTAAAATAGAGTTGTCAAGTATCAGGGGGTATATATATACTAACATTTACCCTAGAGGTATTTCAGGGCAAGAGTTTGTTACAAATAAAATCTTTATTCATATGAACAGCTACCTGGGGGGCAGTACTGAATGTAACACATAGTATTTATATTTATATATATATATTTATTTTTTTTTGAAAATAATTTAGCAGTACTATTAAAACAAACTGGAAGCTACGACGCATTTCAGTTTTTATGTTTTCAAATCAAAATCTTGTACTCTTAACTTTTTTGTATTTGGATCGCATTTTCTACAGTGAATAGCCTTTATTAAAACAAAAATGTGTTCTTCTTGTGTGTCATGTTGATTGTTTTATCATTTTAAATTTGTAAGTTATTTCATGATAATAAAGATAAAAATTTCAGGAAAAACAAAAGCAAATAATATTTACTTTTTCATGAAATGTTTTAATAATATTCCCAAATTTGAGAACTTTCCTTAACTAAGGAAAAAAATATCTAAAAAAAAATCTTTTTTTTTGTTAAATTTTTCCTCAAATCAGTGAAAAGTCATAACGTGCTATGGAAAACAATTTTCAGCAAGATCACACATCTACATTTATCAGAGAGTTTAAGCTGTCTGAAGCAAGCTGGGAGACAAAGCAGACAACACATCGGCTCCGCAGCCTGCGAGCAGCCTGATGGAGGAGGTCACGACTCTGTGCCGGACCTCTCCTAATTTATGGAATAAAGATGCTGATATTCTTTCAACCGATAACAAAATTCTGAGGTTGCTGGAAAAAAAGTTTTCTAGAAAAAGCAGGCAGTAACACTACCCTTTTCCAGCCTGTTTCAAATGCCACAATTTGGAAATTGCCACCTAGAAAGGCAGCATTGCTCTGACTCCTGGGGCGAAGGAGCGTAACGCAGGACTGCATCATAACTTACACGGAACAATTTCACAATTTCTCAGAAGCCAAAAATTTGGAGAAGAGACAAAATCATCCTGCTCCTACTACTCAGAGAGAGATAGCAGGGAAGTGGTAGAAAGGAGAGATGAGTTGCAGAAGTCCTTGTCTCCTCCCTTTCCAACAGGAGTAGGCTCAGAAAAGCTGCAGTTGGACCAAGTGCATCAATCTCCTCATCCTAACAGCCCCCGCACTGACACCTCCTTTCCAATCAGGGCAGCAAGGAAAAATCACGTGAGTCTCTGCAGGGCAATTCAAGAAAGCTCAGAGAAACGCCCTGTGGCTCTAGTACATCCCATTCTATATTTGAGCACATCAGGTTTACCAGCTACGTACGTATGCCACCTAGAAAAGCTGCTTACAGGCTGCTGAGTTTAGGGCACGCATTGCGTGGTTCATCTTCCAGTACTCATCGAGGCATCCAGTCCTCCTTTAAGGAGATGAATGAAGACGGGAGGTGGTTTAACAACACACAACGAAGCCATGAAAATAGACAAGAAGATTTTCTAGGAGAAACACAGCACAGCCTCTGCGTCAGGGAAGCAATATAAATCCTGTGCAGTGCTGCAGACAAAATCCTAAGTCTGTGATACCATCCCAAACACGTGTGCTCCCCTTGAAGGGTGAGGATATAACTCCCTGCAACAGTCTGGGTAGATCTCCTTGCTCTTCAGGGGAACATCACTCACTGCACACCGAGACACCGGCTGCACAGCTCGCAGCAGGAACTTGCCCACCCTGGGTCTTGCTCGAGGGAGTACACGTCTGTTCTCCGATAAATAACTATTTGCAAGTTCATCACAAGCTCACCGGTCACTGCAGAGTATCTCAATTTAACATCTATCATTGTTCAGCTCGTGTTCTGCTTCAGAAGCACTTTTTAAGGCTGCTTACATTAGTGCACTGAACCTCACTCGGAAAGGAACAAGGCAGCCTTCTTCCCATAACCAGCTCATACCAACAGAAGTATCTGTCTTTTAAAAGGTATGCACACAGCCATACGCTGTATACATACAGAGCAAAATTATCGAGAGAGTTTGCATCAGTGTTACTTCTCCCACAAACCAGCAGCTTGAAATAAAGTACAGCTGGAAGAGCAAAATTCAGTTACCAGGAAGGTTTGCACTTGAAATATTTGTGACCTTTCTGTATCACGAAATGCACAAACAGAAACAAGGTATTCATGAAATGTCATATTTAAAAAACATCACTCGGAAAAGAATTTATTTTTTTGTTCTACAAATAACGTCAATGTTGTAAATAATGTAGATTTGCTATTTCCCACTACCTCACAAGAAGGTTTAAATATTTAAATGTGTAACTCAAAACATGCACTCCTGCCAGTTTGATAATTTCATATTCACAAGCAAACTACTGCCTGGGAAGCAGATCTTAAATGGTTACTAGCAAGCTAGAAATAAAAGAATCAATGTTAATTTTAATCAATGGTTTTTCTAGTAGGAGAGAGTAGTCAGCCTCATTAGGTTGTAGTCTGATGCATTTATGCTTCCAATTTAATAAAATACTTGAAACATTCAATTACAAAACAAACATTAAAAATGTGCAAGCAAAGTAGAAGGTACCTCTAATCAGTTTTCCTCTCACCAGTCCTATCAGCCCTTGTTCCTAAAATTTTATCCTGCAGCTGAGGATAAGGTTCATATCCTCTTTTAGATACTGCATCTTTGTGAACTTTGACTATCTGATTCTGTCTAATCAAACCCTAACAGCATCAGCAAAGAAAAAAAAGCTTTCTTCTCTTTAAGATGCACTATTGGTTTGATCAGATTTATTTGTTGTCAGTAAAGGTTATATTTGCACATAAGTCTATGACAGATTGCAAGTTTATTAACTTCAAGTGAGTTTTCAAGCTGCTGGGTTGTTTTTTTTTCCTTTCTTTTCTTTTTTTTTTTTTTTTTAAAGTCATCGTCATTCCCCCCCTTCCCCAAGATGTGGGTTACTTGACAAATTGGAGTTAAGTTATCTTGGGTCAATGTAACTGTAAGTTAAACTAATGAAGTGTATGTCTATGAGTGATGTCTGATTAGTTTAATACAGTTAGTGCTGGACAGCTTGGGCTGCTGACCTTGAAGGAACACAGATAACATTGCGATGCGTTGGAGGATGTGGTTGTGATACAAGACAAATTTACATAACAGTTTGTCATATATACTCCTCCAAAACAAAATTGTTGCAAAAGAAAAGCAAGATGAAACGAACGATAAATGCCTTGTGCGAGACAAACGGGAAGAATAATTATAATGTTTGGCTTGGAACAGCAGCTTATTTGAAATGCAAGCCAGAAGCAGGAAGAGAAAAGGTGGACATTTATACAGTGTGCATTCTAAAACAGACTGAACACTGGGTTGGGGAACCCTGTTCAAACGCAGCCTTCAACATCACAACATCTACTCCTGAAAATATCACATTCCTCCCCTGGTCCATGATGCCTACTCGCTCCTTTCTGGAGTAACAAACACCAGACCCAGCTCCAAAGCCTAACTAGCTCGCTCAGGTGTACCTGCAGCCCTGCTGAGGTTAATTTTGTGGCTGAAAAGCAGGTGATTGTGCTGAAATGTTCTAGTGCCTCTCCATGCTTGTGCAAAATCAGCCAGGTGCTGGTTTACAGCCGAGGCCGTGGTGCTGTGCTGTGCGCCCCAGCGGTGCATGCACTGCACTGTGCACAGCATCGCTGCCTCACAATCATCTCACCACATCTCAACTGATCAGGTAGGGCAAACAAAATTACTGGTTTTAAAGACAGCTTGGTTCTGGAGTGACTGCTTCTCGCTATGTGATAGCTATCTGTTGACCTAAATAGTCTGCTTTTATCAGCCCAGGTTCTAGCTGATAGAAATTTGCCACTTAAACATGTAATTGACATCCACAGGTGCTGGCACGTTACAGAACTGGACAATCATTAAGATAAAATGACTCGTTTAATCCTCTAGGTCAGCCGGAGCAGTACACTCTGATAAATCAGCCTTGCTAATAGATAAACTGGGAGGGCAAGCAAGGAAACTTGCAGTGTTCACATCTGTGCCATCTTTCAACCTAATCAGTGAAATACAGTTTAAGCCCTTCCTTATTTCTGATATCACTTGATAATTTTAAAATAAAATGTATGTATACATAAGTAGATATCCATATGCATGCATTCTTGGAGACTTTAAAGGACTAGGAATGCAAGCCAAAGTATTATGAGAAACTCTAAAGCACTAGTGGTAGTTTCCCATATTTATACCCAAAGAAATCAGAGCAAGAAGACCAACTTGTTACTGTCCGCTGCAAGTCTCTATTTGTATATTGTACATACACACTTGCATACACAGAACTGAAGATTCAGCTCAAGAGACCTTGTTGAAGGCCTCCCTGTAATTTGAGTTTTGAGTTATTCAACTCCTGTGTTACCTGTAATTTGGATTCGTTGGCACTGTCTGCATGAAATAAAGGGCAGCCGTCCGTGCTTTCCAGTGCCACTTCTTGGCAGGGAGGGTACAGAGCACGCAGTCCTCCTTCAGCTCTTCCTGAAGAAGATCCATCAGCTGCTTGTGGGAGCCCCCATAAAAAGCTTCAATGAGGAGAACGGTCATCTTCCTGATGCTTAGCTTCTGCCTGCAGTCTGGAAATGACAACAGAGAAATACTTTACTTTAGAAATACCCAGGTTTTTGGTTTGTTTGCTTGCTGTTTGTCTTTGTTTTTAAGAAAAGGATATTGGAAAAAACAGAAACATATCGTAAGGCCTTACAGCATCTTCATTTTTCCCTTGAAATTAATCCTTCATATTAGGTTAAACGGTTTACTTCAAAAAGTGGTACTTAATTATAATGACAACATTATCACACCTACTAGTTTCAACCATTACAAAGTACTATTTGAAATTTTAAAGGAACCAGAACGTGCAGGACTTAGAAATATGGTATTTGTTTTGTTTTCAATCAAATATTTAAAAGTAGCTTCACTTTACACACTCATAAATGCATTATTCTTCAACGGGTTAGAGGAATGTCCATAAAATGCCTTTTATTCACTTTTACACAGGTTTTGCCCTTTTATTTGAAGTAGAAAAAGCTAAAGAACGATTCAAACACATTTCAGGCAAAGCTGTCCAGGGCTGGGACTCAAAGGACTGCCTGGGGAAGGCAGTCTGAGCACCCCAGAGCTCTGCTGCATCCCCTGAACACTCTCGGACCCCAGAGGAGATGCAAGTCACGTTATTTTGCAGTGCTCCAAAATGGCTGGAAGAGAGCAACAGTGCCGGCTTAAGGAAGCTCTCACACACTCAGCCACGGGGCTGCTGACAAACAGGAAGCAAAACGTGTTGCCCCAAGTGAAGGGAAAGACGAAAACCCCGTGACTATTGCTCATGTTTCATGAGTCACGCACTTGGGGTGCTGGAAAGCTGCTGCTCAGATGCTCTGACCAGCACCATCAAATCAAAATGCTGAAAACAAAACCCTGAAAAGTATTTACCATCCGTGACTGCCCCTCTGATGATTCCCTTCTCAAAATACCCCGACCGGGGAGGATTCTCCGCTAACTTATTTGCTCGGGCTTCTTGTTTGATGCTGCATGTTGTGACCTGTCATTTCGAGCGGTTTCAGACTGTAATTCTTATCTTCTCAAAGGCTCTGATGACAAAAAGTGAGAATTCAGTAGAGAGCTATGTACTCCCCACAAATTCTCAGTCAATCTCAACCTTGAAATTTAGTTAAAATCAAGTTCAGGTTTATATATATGCATATAAACGATATTTTTGTCTGTGATCAGATTTTAGAAAAATTAAAAGCTACAAGTGCCTTGCAGCAATCAAAAGATCAGCTAGCCAGCAACAAAAATCCAAATACTGCAGAAATTTAATGAGAAGACAAAATATAAGAGACCTCCAGATAGATTTGAGCCACTGGCCCATCACTGTGCGAGATAAAACAGCGACATCGAACTTGTGGGTCATTACAGATCAATGAGCAAGAAGGAAAGTATCCCGTGCTTGTTCCCATCACAACACAGCCTGGATTCAGGTTCTAATTTGTTCTATTATTCACTCCCCCATGCTGTTTCAGATAAATTATTTTTTTGACAAATACGTTCCTTTCAAAAGGAAAATAATCATCTTCTGGAAGCAGACTTCTCTTCCGTTTGGAGTTCGCATCTTCGCAGGTAGCAAGGCAGATTCTGATCTCTTTTCCACTGACCTAATTTCAGAATCACACTTTTGAAATCACTGGCGTTTTCTGAATTCACAATGATGCAACTGAAATCCTAATCCCTACTCCAGAGCCCTTCTGGAACCTGCAGGGTAATAACTGCGATACAAACACAAGCTGTGTTCGGAATCTGCACTATTCACCTACAGAACAATTTGCAATTAATTATGCCGCGCTCGTCATCAAACGTCGCTGCAAATGTAACTCAAAAGGAATAGAGGGAAGCGTTTTGCAAATTCAGCCCCCCTAAAAAAGGGGGTGCAAGAAAGGCTGTAAATGTCACTGAGTCAGTCACTCAGTGGGAATGAGTTACCGTGAATTTACCAATCATTAGTGGTATCAGTAATAAAGGAATGTGATCATAAACTATCTGATCAAATTACACTTCATCAGACTACTTCTGAAACTGTTTTTATCACCAGCTTTAGCTGAATCAACAATGTGCTCTCTGATTTTCTTCGGCAGCACTTCTCACTGAACTTCCTCACTGGGACCGAGCGAGCGGGCGTGCTGACAGGAGAAAGCTTCTTCGGCTCTCACGTTTCCTTCTTACGGATCCTGGCACTTCTTCGGTCACTCTGCACTTATCCTCCTTCCTTCACATCTACTCCTCAAAGCATTTTGCAAGTCGTACATAAATGTGGCCATACAACAACCTCCTTTTGGCTATTTACACTGAGAAACCCGGTTCCCAATGGGATGGCCCTAGGGTACATATTAGGTAGCTCTTGTAGGATCCTAGTGTCATGCAACCTACGTGCAAAATAGGTTGTAATAATTTCCATCGTGCTTGATTAGCAAAAACGTTACGTAAAGAGCAGTATATGGTGGCGTGTTGTTTGGTTTTTGTTTTTAAGATGCTACTTAAATATGAAACTACTAAACAATGGTGGCAGCACAATACATGTCGTGGTTACTTCAGGGGTTGACTAATCTGGAACAACGAAAAAGCCAGCCACTGAACTGCGTGTTTTAAAAACATATGCTGATAATGCAAAGGAAATTGCATTATACATAACTAATAATTCCTTGTATTTAAAAAGTCACGGAGGAGGCAGGACGCAGTCATTTACCTCATATTTCATCCACATGGCTTCCAGTTTTGTTCACACACAAAAATAACATCTATTATTTTTGCTTTATTTCCCTTTCCCTAGCCAAGTTAAGGTAAATATGTACTACACGCTCTGCGGAGGTCTCAGAAAGACACAGATGATAAATGGCCTGAGAACATTCACCGTATCTGATGGAATGCGATCCTCAATTAAATATAAATCACTCCAGGTATTCTTTTACCCATTTCAAAGAAAACAACAAACGTTAGAAAAACAGAACTGCTTCCCCTTTCCCATTACAGGGCTTCCTCTCCACGGAGCCAGCAGCGCAGCCTCAGCTTCAGGAGCACAGCACCACAGTGCTTGCAAAATGCTGCACACTACCCCGTCCACGTGCTGCAGCACCTTCCTCGGGACAGATGGTAACAAAAAACAGCTGGAAGAAAAGCCTTCTAAATGGTAATGGTGTCAGCAATGTGGCTACTACAGAGGTATAGCAAGGTGCTGATAAATTCAGGTACCTGGTGAGACTTCTCCTAAGTCAGAGCCAGCACCTCTCAGTGATGCTCGTCCGGGACTTTGTCAGTCTGCCACAAGGTGAGCTGCTGCAGCAAAACGGCACGGGATGGGCTCACTGCAAGTCCCTAAATGGGCCCCTGTTTATAAAAATAAATAAATAAAATTCTATGCGATACAGAGCAGTGATTATTTATTTTAAAGGCTCGGAAGAATTAACTGTTCAACTAGCCACAGAAACCATCGCTTCATTTTAAACTCTAGGTAAACACCAACCAAAGTTTTTTTTTTATTAACCAGCCTAGGTAGAGAAAACTCGTCATTTTCCATGATTTATTAAGGAACATACATTCGCTCTGTCTTAGACACAGAAGTGTGGTTTCACAAGCATCAGCACCGCTCGCATCAGGAAGCCATAATTAGCTCTGTTCGTTGACGTCCTCAGACAACATAAATTACAGATCGTGTGCAAATAGCTGTCCAACCAAATAGTTGAGCAACAATCCAAAACCAAGGGAATAACTGTTAATATATTCCATAGGTAGAGAGCTGCTATTAGTTACAGGAAATAAGGTATACGGTTTCAGTAATGATTGTTTCAACGGTCACAGTCCCACACACATGAGAAATTTATTCCACCGCCGCATCCAGAGCACACTCAGCTGGCTACAAAAACCAGCAGGTATGCATTGTGTACATAAACAAACCTGCAGCCTTTGATGGTTTCGGATAAATCATCAAAAAAAAAAAAAATGGGCAAAAAAAAACCTCTCAGTGCTCCACGTCCTGGTGAGATGGGATTTCCCAAAGGGTCCACCACCGCCGTGCCCCCGTCCCCGTCTGGCTCCTGCTCCGTGCACACGCACAGCGTGCACACACAGTAACCTACATTGAGAGCGGCCACGGTGCCCTCCTACTCACGGCAATGACTCACAGAAACCCCGGAGCTGTACCTTAAGCACAACTGCATCTCGAATGTTTGACCAAAATTTCACTCGGATTTACATCACCCAAAAGTACCGGGGGGTAAGTCATTACTGAACCGTACATCTGCACCAAGTGAGAACGCCACTTGATTTATCTTTGATATAAATCACCTGGAAAAAGTAAGAAATAGCTACTTCTTTCGAGAAAGTGGTAAACCTGAACCGCTCACCTCTACTTGGACATCTGCAGCAGCAGCATTAATCTGCTGGTGACACCCAGGAACCACACTTCGACCCATCCACCACCTTAGATGCTGATTTTTATGTCCCTTTGCTTACAATCTATGTGTAAGCTCATTGAGGCTGTGTTCATTACGCTGAGAGCCAGCTCCCAGCCAAAAACCCAAGCAGAGTGACTAGGAGAAATGGCACAGCCCCAGCGGTCTCGGCCAGGTAAGTATTCCCAGCTGTGAACTCTGCCTCGAAATCCCTTTCAGGATCAGGCTCATTCACCGCCCTTATTTGAAGCAGTTGCTTCAAGGACTGCTAACTCATTCTTCTACGGGCTATTTTAAGATGTGCTGTAAAATCAGCTGCTTGTAATACGCTTTAAAACGTGCAGTTAATTATTAATTTTTAAACTCGCTTTTCAAAGTAAGAGCTTTGTGGGTCCCACTCTCGTGCTTGACAAGTCCTGCTCTCACACGTGTGAATCACTTTCGTTTTGATGCTAAACCCACACGGGTGGCTACTGGCAGACCACTCACACAGCCACTTACGGACTCTACCACCAGTCCCGACGACAAACTTTTAAGTCAAGTTTTTAAGTTAAATATGTTTTTAAAGGTTTTCTACGCTTCAAGCTTTTCTGCAGATTTGCCTTCCCTCTGGCAGCAGGCAGAGAGGTGATGTACAC